GAGCGCGTTCAATTGGCGATAGAAGTCGTCTATCACCGAGTCAGTGCTACAATTTGTGGGATTGTGGGCCGCAATGACAAACAGGCACCGTTCGTCCTCACGCGACTTCGATGCTTTGAACCAGCCAGTCAATCTGACAGCGTACATCCGGTTGTTGAATGGGATCCAATCGAGCAGGGCAACCTCAGCCCATAGACTCAGAGCAATGCACACACCGGCTTGACCGGCATCTGAATCCACATCATCTACGGACAAGCGCAATGAAAAAATACCGCCAGGTTCGCACGTTGGAGATCGCAAGGTAATCACGGAACACCAAACTCGCAGGTGGGTTTCTGATAAGTAGCAGATATCGATCGATAAGGTCTCTAGTGTTTGGGCAAGTGCAAACCATTGGCTAATTTGCAACACAGTGCGCACATTGAGATATATCAATTTTAGGGAGGATAAACGGCCCCAAACAGAAGCAAATGAACTGAAATTGTCGGTTTGGCTGGCATGGACTTATCGATGGGGCCGGAGTGAGGTCATGCGATTGTATGTGAGTTGAAACTAGAAGACAGACGCTTATCAAAGCAAGAGATCAGGGTGAGCCAAGAATTGAGGGGCTGAAAACAAGGGCGGTAAAAGTGAAGTTGGGACGGGAGGATAATGATGAAAAATCGCAAGTGAGAATAAAAAGACGGAAAAGATTGGGCAGTAGCATCCTGACCCTTATCCATCCTGCTTGATGCAGCAGATTTGGCGTCGTTGATTATCCTCTACGTCGGCCAGAGCATCAAGGAATTATTTGTAGAGAAAGTCATAGTATTCTAATAAGTTGGCAGGATACAGTCAGGCTTCCCAGGCCTAGACAGGAGGAAGATTAGGGTTGTCAACCATAGCCTTTGGTTCAAAAGCCTGACCGCAAAGCGACGGGCTACAACGAGTCCATTTTATGGAATAAGAGGCAAACCTCACTCCAACCTACCACATGGTGGGACAGGAGTCTAAGTTTGTCCAGCCTCTAACAGTTGATCATTGTGTTATGAGTAGCTTTGGAGGTGCAAAAAACAGCATTGAGGCACGCAAACTATTGCACCACGTTAACATCCAGTCTCGTCGCGATGGATTGGGCAGAAGCAATGCGGTTCTGTTATGGGAATCCACATGACTGTATATAACCCGCACAGCTGCCATGGGAATTTGCGTACCGTAAATGCGACTCAGCGTACAATATCGCTTCGCCATAAGACACCTTGGTGCACACGTTCACAAACGACCCGGTGTACACCATCGCAAATACAAAAGCGAAAAAGCAAAGAAATTTCTTCTTCATAAATTTCATCGGGCAATGACAAGATGCGTAATCATCGGAATAGAAGCCAGTACCAGCGATGTGGCGATTTGTCATGAGTGCTGCGACCGGAGGAACGGTGGCAATCAATGACAATTTAAAAGTGCGGAATATACCGAATACGGTGTATTTCGCGTATTCTCGTTCAGCCGCATACATACTAATAGTGAAAACTTTAAACGAGCGGAAGTGGAAGGGAATCAATAACAAGAATCGATGATCAGCTGTGGTAGTGACTAGACAGGAAAAATCCCACCTTACCAAGGCAGAGCAAGACTGGCCACAAGTTCCGGTTGCTTGCACAGATTAGGCTTTAGACGCCGGATGGCGGTTGCCTCGGCGAACCTTAGCAGGTTGGGATGACTTTGTCTGCTTCTCGTGCGTTTTGGCACATGGTACAGTCGAACAGGTGACAATTTAAACTAAGTACCATTGACCACTATGCTTAAAGTCTGACCATGCTCCGGCTACGGTGTGGTTAAACTTTGTAAAAGTACATGCTGTTTACGGTTCCTGTCTTAGCTGCACGATCGAGAATGCTTCTGCCGTGGGCAGTAGGCGCACTTTGAGTCCTTTTGGGTAGCGTTTTGATGCTACACACACTATTTTGAAGGAATAATTCGTTTGTATGTTACGTCCACAGTCTACTAGCTGGTCCAGGATGGAGCTAAAGACATTCCTGGTCGTACCACGTTGTAATAAGGTGGGACACTGTTCCATTATCCGCTTTGAAAGACGTCTGGTCGTGTGTCCGAGGTACCTCGCAACAAACAGCTAATGAAAGCTCCCAAACTGCAACAGCACTGTACAGACTAGCACTGGCTGTCACCCATTTCGGGATATGATCTGCACCCTCCAAGTGCAAAGCTTACATTAAAGATTGCAGGTACCGGCCCCTGATCTGACAGTTGGTGGGGATCAGCTAGAAGTCATACAAAAATTCCACTGCCTAGGTAGTTGTATCAGCGCCGTTGGAATTGAAGACGAAGTCAAAAACCGTATAGCAAAAGTCCGAGGCGCTTTTGCGAACCTTCGCCACCTATGGAGCCGGCACGACATCACTCTCTCCTTGAAGGACAGAGTAGACAAGGCAGCCGTGCGTTTGACCCTAATGTAAGGTTGTGAAATCAGGCCCTTCAGATCAGCGGACATAAAGAGGCCAGTCATGATCGACCACCGGTGACTTCCCAGTTTGGCTCATATCTGGTGAGAACATCGTGTGAGCAATAAGCGTGTTCGACGCCTTGTTTATTGCACAAGAAGAAGAAGCATGGTTATTTCACGCAGCAAACTTTGATGGCTGGGTCACGTGCCGGCACATTGACTTCCGCGACGTGCGTTGTTTGCGCGCCGGGGGCGCGGATAGAAGAAGAGGAGTGGCGGCCAAGCGATGACTTGGTCAAGAGGAATGAAGGTCCTTAGAAGTTGGTCTCGGTTGGAGTCTCTCGGTTCCCTGGTTGGGGACCGAAAGACGATAAGCACGTTTGGTTGGATACACTCGTTGATATGGCGAGGAGCAGACCTCAGTGGCGTTTGTGTTCCTTTATCCATCCCCCGCTTTGTTTCCCACTCCAACCACGATCCCAAGTATATGATTTTTTGCGGCACAATAGCCTGCTGTTAGCTCTCCGGAACGATGTCCATCCGTTACTGGTGACTCAGCCAGTGTGCCTCTGTTGCACTTCTTTTCTTTTCTCTTGTACTGCAGCACCATAGTTGAGGTGTTTTCCACCAGCAGCTAGCGTGTATAATGATATAATGATGCCTCGAAACACAGGTGTAAGTGAATTGATATAGAACAAATGATTCGGACTGGACGGGAATTTTGTCATCATTCATCATCATCGTTATACACGTTAGCTGCAGATGGAGAACACCTCAGCTATTGTGCTGCAATAGAAAAGATAAGAAGAAAAAACAACAAAGGTACGCCGGTTGAGTCACCAGTAACGGATGGACATTGTTCCGGAGAGCTAACAGCCGGCTATCGTGCCGCAAAAAGAGTTATATTATATCTAACGAATGAGATCGTGATTGGAAGGGGAGGCTAAGTCGGAGGGGAATGTACAAAGGAACTCACAACACAAACGCCATGGGGGCCGGCTGCTAGCCATATCAACAAGTGTGTCAGGTGATCGAACTAATCACACTTGAGTTTCCGTCAACCAGACAACACGCTGTTCCTCTGCTTGCCTATGGCTCATGTCTAACTACAAATATGAAGGTTTAGAATCCTACGTGGGTCTTTGGCTGAGCCCGTAAAAGTGCTCCCGCTGAACGTCGACCTTCGTGCTATTTCTCTGGTTCGCAGTGCGTCGCAGGACTTGGCATTCTTCAGCAGTTGATTGGTTAACAGAGCTTGATTAAATGGTCGCATACGTTTCGCCACCATGTGAGTTGGCAAAGTCAGTAAGGTGACGCGCGATGGACATCTTGCTGGTCGAATGGTCTATTCGTGATCGACGGGCAGGTGGCTTTTGAGAGCGATATCTTCGACTCGCGTCCCGTGATCTTTGCCCACTTTCTAGCGCGATCGAACCAGCTATTCGAGTTGTTCGCGCGTATCTCGTTTCGCGCTGTGCTTTTCAAATCACCATAGATCATTTTTCCTAAATTTTCGGTCTATCGGGTCGACGTCAACGCGCATGTTGGTAGAATTATTAGAGAACCAAGCTTCCAGGAATTATCATCCCCTTTATGTCTCTATTTGAGCCAGAATATCCGTCCTGTTTCAATCGAAGCTGTGTCCCTTCTCATCCACATGCGCTGAGACCAGCAACGATGCGTAACGCTTTCTGCAAGCCCTTCGATGTTCTGGTAAATAATTTACTACATGTCTGTCCTACATAATCCTTTTCACAGTTATTGTAATTAGTGTTTCAAGGGCAGATGTACTCACTTGTACAGTGGTCTTCACGATCGCCCACTCAGTGGTCATGATCGATCATAACCGTTCATTTTGTTCGCGAGTGGGAAAGCCGTGAGAAGCAGTCAGTTGGTTTGGCCGAAAAGCAACGGTATAAGAGGCTAGCATTACTTGCGTTGCGCAAAAGTATTCCCAGAAGTAGACTACTAGCATCGAGGGGTCAAGGGTTTAGTACGTGATGGAGCCGGGAGATGCGCAACACCGATATCTTCAGGAGGGCGAAACAACCGACTGGCGATGTTCGGATAGGGATATCTGACTAAGAAACTACAGCAACGAACTTGTAATAAAAGTGCATCAAAACAGCAACTTACACGTACACAAAAACCGTCATGTGGCAGTCTACTAACTGAAAATAACAAGCCTCTTCAACGCGCAGTCTGCGAGTGTTCTTCAGTCGCGTGGGAGCAAGCTGTGTCGGATGCTCGAGATTGGACCCAGGCAACATTAAGTTAGCAGAATAGTACGGTTGGCTCTGGGGTTGGACCGAAGAAGGAAATGCGTTGGGGGACATAAACAGGACTAAATGCAATGTGCACAGTGAGGCGCTTTAAGGTCGAACCGGGGCGTGAGCCAAGGGACATTAAGAGAAAGCGTGCGCAGAAGAGTTGCTAAAAAATAATTATGTCGAACATCATCAACCATAAACGGACCACTGAAACTACTCTCATGTCTCTAAGATATTAGAGTACATGATATAAGCATGGAAAACTTTAGATAAGAGAGCCACTTGTTACTCTAGGACTCTGGATTAAGTTTATGAAAACATGCAAGTTTTCTAATAAAGTTGGGGTGAGAATGACGTGAGGGGATGAAATAAAATTTCGTTCCACGGATTAGTTTGATCAGTCGAAGTAGGCACTTACAGTTATCAGAGCAGTCTTGGAGATTGAAGAAATCAAGGGTGCGCGGTGAAAGATCTGTGTCTTCAGGAAATTCTTCCGTAGCATCGAATTCCTCCTCGTTAAATTCAGGACCAGAAACAACCGAAGACGAATTCGAATCGGAATAAGTAACGAGCTCTGACTGAAACCACAGAATGGAGGTGCGTTTGTAAAGGATGTCAGCGTCAATTCCTCTAGGGAGGTTGAATAACGCGTAGGCCACCGAAAAAGTAACATAAGGCCGGTGCATATCTAAGGTAGCACCCAACATTCATGGTAACAAATTCTACGTTACTCGACGATTCCCAAACAATATGAAATATCAAACGGAGACCCACAGGACCAGTGCCCCCGAGGTAATCCACAAATAGACACCGATGCAATCATAATAAAACATCAGTGGCGGAATATGTAGCACCCATACACTGACGCCAGTGAAGATACAAGCAGGAGCTACACTCATTGAGACCAGGCTTGACATAGTGAAACATTGAAATAGTAGGAAAAAGGCTGACATCAGGTGACAGCAGATGGAAAGGGTAGAGGGCCATCTGAAGTGTGGCACGGGTCTCAGAGCCGCAATTGTGTAGAAAAAATACTGATGAAGGCCAGATGACGACGGGAAACACTTCTAACGGTGTTGAGGATCAAAGTGGGGACAGGCGGATGAAACGCTTGCTACAAAGTGAACGGTCAGGTTCACGGCTTGTGAGGCTACAACTGAGTACAACATACTAGCCTTAATAGGGTGGATAATCGTAGAACACGGGGCTGTCTGAAGTTCGATTACACCGAATATTCCTAGGCGTGCTTTTAATTTGGACCGGTAGTAAACCGGGCAATAATAATAATACGTATACTTCTTCTGATGCGAGAAACTGTGTCTGTAGCGGCACAGATCACTTTGTACAGAAGTATCCATGCTTTTGCACGGGTGACATG